ACGTGCACGCTCCGAGTGGAAATGAGAAGTCTTCTAAAGTATCAATCGAACAGGCTATTATCAGGGCTGGGAATCAAAACTGCGTCGTATCCTACAAAATGTAAACAAACGCCGCCATCTTGGAACGAAAAATGTATGTTTTTGTTTATAACTCTTTTTGTTGGAAATGACTGAAAACAAGATATATGTATTAACACGCTACACTATTTTCCGCTTCGTTCGGTATATGTTGCTTGCACAACTATTTTGTAAAACAAAAGTTATAGCGAACTTGCAACTCGAAGCGAGGCAGAATTTTTATGAAAATGTGTGGATACGACGCAGTTCATATTGCTTTATCTATCGTTTTTCCTTCAAATCAATTATATACTCGTTTTCAGAGTTCACCATAAACTCACTTTTATAGTGTTATTTAAAATGGCCAATGAAAATTCTGCCCATATTCATTTCTTTACTGTTAATTTAAGCGGAAGTCAAGGTGAAATCAGACGGCCTTTGGCAAAAAAAAAAAAAAGATTTTAAATGCTCATGTTGTAACTGCAGTATACATTCATACTTTCGAAGACCCCAAACTATCGCACGAAAAAAAACCGCGAATCTTAACACGTGATTTTGTCTAGCTAGTCGTCGAACCGGATTACTCGGCATAGGAGGAGCTATAGTTATCCCCCGCCGATGGAATCGGGAGGGGGATATAGTTTTGGCGTTGTCCGTCCGTCTGTCCGTCCGTCCATCCGTCCGTCCGAATTTCGTTTCCGGAGTAGTTCTCTGCAACTACTGGCTGGAATTCAACGAAACTTTATGGGAATCATCAATATCAAGAGGAGATGCGCATCTGACCGTCCGTCCGTCCGTCCATCCGTCCGTCCGTCCGTCCGAATTTCGTTTCCGGAGTAGTTCTCTGCAACTACTGGCTGGAATTCAACGAAACTTTATGGGAATCATCAATATCAAGAGGAGATGCGCATATCGTCGGCTTGTTCCGGTCAGACACTTTAACTCAGAGTTATTGCCCTTGATTAGTTATGTAGTATGCATATAGAGTAAAAATCGTTTCCGCGCTACTTCTCTGCAACTACTGGCTGGAATTCAACGAAACTTTATGGGAATCATCAATACCAAGAGGAGATGCGCATATCATCGGCTTGTTCCGGTCAGACACTTTAACTCAGAGTTATGGCCCTTGATTAGTTATGCAGTATGCATATGGAGTAAAAATCGTTTCCGCGCTATTTCTCTGCAACTACTGGCTGGAATTCAACGAAACTTTATGGGAACCTTCAATACGAAGAGGAGATGCGCATGTCGTCGGCTTGTTCGGGTCAGACACTTTAACTCAGAGTTATGGCCCTTGATTAGTTATGCAATATGCATATGGAGTAAAAATCATTTCCGGAGTAGTTCTCTGCAACTACTGGCTGGAATTCAACGACACTTTATGGGAATCATCAATATCAAGAGGAGATGCGCATATCGTAGGCTTGTTCCGGTCAGACCCTTTAACTCAGAGTTATGACCCTTGATTAGTTATGTAGTATGCATATAGAGTAAAAAATCGTTTCCGCACTACTTCTCTGCAACTACTGGCTGGAATTCAACAAAACTTTATGGGAACATTCAATACCAAGAGGAGATGCGCATATCATCGGCTTGTTCCGGTCAGACACTTTAACTCAGAGTTATGGCCCTTGATTAGTTATGCAGTATCCATATAGAAAAATATTTGTTTCCTCGCTACTTCTCTGCTACCACCGGCTGGAATTCAATGAAACTTTATGGGATACTAAGAGGAGATGTGCATATAGTCGCCTTGTTCCAGTCAGATACTTATAACTCAGATTTATGGCCCTTGATTAGTTATGTAGTATGCATACATCTCATTGGCATTTCCAGATTTTACTATTTAACACAAAGTTATGGCTCTGTTATTTCCCTGAATATTTATCAAGTTCAAAGAATATTACTGTTTATGCCATGATTAATATATAAATAAAGCCTTATGTCTTCAGTTGTTGTGTTAATAATAACCAGTACTCGGCGGGGGATATAAATTCAACGAATTTGCTTGTTCAATTTTGTGTTTACTTAAGAAACGAAACACAAATCCTTTTTATTTTTATATTTTTATATTAAAAAAATCAAAGAAAATCAAAGTATTTTTTTCTTCAAAACTACGTGCCTATACTAATTACATAAATAAACAACTCCCATACGCAGCAAACGTTTCCATAAGCATTTGGCAATTATTAATCTTAAGTTTCACATCGTAATTGACTTTATCTTTTCATCAGCTTTTTTTTTATGTTAGCTGTAAGATTGAAATATAAAATAGGTCTTATTTAGAAGAAATCTGAAGAGTAATTCTGAATTCAAGACGAGATGAGATTTTTGTTTAGTATGTTATTTATGTAAACCAATAAGAAATAATATTAAAAATATTCTTCCAGAGTATTTATCAAATGATACTCGTATATACGTTCCTGCTGCTCTACAAAGAGAATGTTCTGACCAACAATTAAAAAATAAGAGTCCATAAAAACGTTCAAATTACTTACGCCTGTCAAGGTAATAGGTCTTTCACTGACCAAATAGTGTCATAAATAACGGATATTAGCGCGAATAAAATTGTGAAAAAAAATCTTTTAATCTTAATTGAGGTCAAAGCAAATTGTAATAGCTGTAGGAATTGTCATTTCTATTTCATATACTAGTATTGTATTTCAAGTAGCTTTGTCACGTGACCAAATGATGGAGTGCTTTATCAATATATATCTTGGAACCCACGTGCAATTTTGGATTACGAGAAGAGTGGGTTATACATCAATAAAACATTGTCAATAAGATACAAAGCCACATAATTCACAGCTTCTGTTATTTAACCGATCTAATTAACAAATATTTCGTTAATTTAAGTCAAGTTGTCAACGTGTATAAGACTTTATATATGACAAGGATGAATTTGAAGGTTATCTTAAAATGCCATATTTCATACATGTACCTTTAATCGCGCTTTATTGGTAGAAATAAGAAAAATTCTAACAGTGCAAAGGAAAAAATACAGAAAACTTTGTTCAGTTCACAAAAACTATAACAACAAGACACAAAGAAATAGACATTAAGATAGTAAAAAATCTGGAGAAAAGGTGATCCCTCGGAGGCATTAATCACAACAAAATTACATGAAAATTGCCGGCTCGGTTTGATTGAGTCTGTACATGAGGGATAATGTATAAGCGCAACATCCCTCACACACCCTAGCACCGGCTTGAGCGCTACTCAATTTTCAACTGTTAAAAGTGTTAGAATCAATGATCCAATGACCCCGATGGACAAGAAGAAACATAACAATACAGACTTGATTTTGTGTCGTTTTTATATGACGGACGTTACTGGTAATGCAATTTATTTCATCCACCCTAGCACCGGTTTTGGTCTGTATTCAATTCTTAATTTAATTTGTTTCAGAAACAAGTTGATTTTAATTTCATTTTCCTACAGACAGGAAAATAAAGTTACATGACAACTATTGTCAGTTCTTGCAGGTGTGTTCTACTACTTGCATATTGCCTTAAAACAAAACAAACAAATATCACTGACGCTAAAATTGTTGATTCAACAACAACAAAAATATTCTTCTTGATAATGCATTAAAACTTATGTCTGGAATGGCAATATATATAAAAGCAATAGGACGAAGTAAATCCGTTATTTGTAGAAAACACAAGAGTTGTAAAGAAAGTTTGCACTTGTGTATAGGGAAATTTTGTATACTTAGGCATATTTTATAATATGTATTGTCTACCCGATGACCTACTTTTTATTAAAATTGATTATAATCAGAATTTTATTTTATGTGTAAATAGCGAAGGTTTGATTTTTGTAAACTTTGAATACTTGGGTACACGAATGGAACGTAATTCAAAGATCTGGAAAAAGGATGATCCATCCAAAGCATTAATCACAACAAAATAACATGAAAATTGAAATCTCAGTTTGATTGAGGGTGTACATAAGGGATGAAGAAAAAGTTCTAGACCCTTCAAGCCCCCCTAGCACCGGCTTGATCGCTACCCAAGCCGACTCTATAAGACGTCACGACTGTTTCATGCGATCTAGAACACTTTCGTTGATCCGTAGACGAGATGAGCACAACTGCCATCTAACTATCCAAAGGCAAAACAATGTTTACAAAAATCTCAAGTTTTATAATGGAGGCGTTATAGTTTCATTCATGAATACCATTCCATAAGTTAAACATTGATTATTATTTTTAAATTTTTATTTTTAAGACTTATAGTATGCCACGCATGTAATGATAAGTATTTACACTTTGCACGAGACGCTTGAAAAGAAAGATCATGTTTAAATTTCATAAAATTACACTCAAAACTCACGGGGTTCACCAGTCACTAGATCATTACTTGAAGCAAGATATATACATGTATACTGTACTACTTATATGAATATTGAAATAATGTCATTAATCATGTATTGAACAATTATAAAAAGGCTAAACTATCAAATGATTTAATGTATTTTCTGAAAGGTTTTAATCTTCATACGACCGTATGGGAATTCACTTAAAGTTGTCTTATGACAAAGGCTTTCTGAGCAAACATTGATTTGTTTAAGTTGATATGAATTAAAAAAAAAACGACGGAAAAGCAATGTCAAATGTCAACGAACGTTTTGCAAAACATGTAATACGATGGTACGACAATTTATATAGACAAAAAATAAATTTCAAGAAACAATATGTTAACAGCAATGTATTTATTAGAAAACAATCATTGATACATTTATTACTTTTTGTGCTTTTCATTCAAAACAATTTCCCAGTTAACAGTTCAAAATTCACTAAAATAACAGTTATGATATCCTAATTAGTGACGTATCTATTGGCACGTTATGATAAGTGTATTAAAATATATTTAAAGATGTTCTGGTTAGGTCAAATTAAAAGGAACAAAAATTTTGTCGCGACTATATATATATATATATATAAACAAAATGATATTTTTTAAAGTCGTGACATATCTGCTTGTGAAATGACATCATACATGTGACGCAACAATAAATTCATGTAAGAATATACAATTTACATTTTTCATGATTCACAAACATCAGCTTCCATCATATTGTATATACGTTTTAATTTTTCTTGATATTCTCTATGATGAAACAATCAAGTTGAGGCAATGAACGCCCAAGTAAAAGCGTTAACAGAATCATGATAAATAATAGTAATAAATATTTTTATATGTGGCACTGGAGATATGTCGTGTAGATATTAAATACAATTCTAGAATATAAAATGAGGCAAATTAAAAAAAAAATTTTCCAGCCGGAAATGCCATACAATGGTCTGGAGTTAATGATTTTGTGGACAGTGTAAGCAAGTGTTTATATTCATGAAAAAGAGTCAAGTGTTTCATTTCTTATGTTATCATTTAAATCTCTGCCAAGTTTTTTTAAATGTCACTTTTTTACAAATATGTTCATGTAAAATCAATATCATGTATGAATACATTCAGAAATTAAAACAAGGTCAGTATATCTATTAACATTGCCGCTGTACTGCGTATTTAACTATTCTTACATTTTCTTGAAATGAAAGAAACTTAAAAAATATGTTCAACAACAACAAATAAATAAAGTCATATAAACAAAATAAATTAAAGCAAATACTTTAATGCACATGAACATGTATTAAGGGAATGTGATTGTTTCTCGTCTGCGTGAGAAGTCACGTGGCTTTACATGACGTCATAGGTTCATGAATTCTTTCGTATGCAGTCGTCTGTCTCTTTTTTGGTGTGAAGCTGTAATCTTACTCCTGAGAAGTCTGAAATATATATAGTAAGAAATGGTTAAGAATGATATCTCCTTTACAGACCTGTGCGAATGACTAGCTGTTTATGACTTTATTGCTCACTATGTAGTTGATATTAATTATATTTGTTTTTATCATGATGTAATATCAAAATTATAGATCAAATCATATCTCATGTCATATCATACAATATCATACAATAACTAATATCATATCATATCATTTCGCATCATGTCATATCATATCATATCAAATAATATCATATCATATCATATCATATTATTCATATCAAATCATATCATATCAAATCATATCAAATCATATCATTTCATTTCATATCCTATTATTCAAATCAAATCAAATGAAATCATATCAAATCATTTCACATCATATCATATCATTTCATTTCATATCCAATTATTCATATCAAATCAAATCATATCATATCACATCATGGTACGTTCTTATGATACTGGGGCGCAAACGGTCGATAAGATTCATTTGGCCTTTGCTATCTATTTGTAGTATTTGTCGATCTTTTTTAAAAATGAATATTTCAAAAAGCGGTGAAGTAACCTTCTCCTTTTTTGTATTGGTTATTCATGTAAGGATATGAAACTTGAAAACTTGCTTGCATCAATTCTATTAAAGAAAGTAAAGTTTAACAGCTTGCGTGCAACAATTTTTTTAAGTATGCTTACGTTTATAAAAAAAAATTACTAAATATGGAATCTATGCATTGATATTTCATTCCCGTTTACAGATCTTAGTAGAGAATTATCGCTTTGGTATTTTCAGTATAAAAAGATTAACACGAAATAAGACCAAAAAAAATATCAATAAATAAACGTGTGTTTCTTGCAACCACCCCTGCAGTTGAGACAATGTAGAAATGTAACATTGGTTTAAAGATCTGCCTCAATATAAATATATCAATTGATATAACAGCCACACTTTCAGTTATAATTTCGTGCAAATTCCTGATGAAAATATGACGAGAAAATTCTCTAGAGATTTCAACGATTATCACTTTGTCTTGATGAGTTTCTGTGAACGGGGACAATCAACTAATCAACAATGCCTTTAACAATATTCAGTATCTGTTTATCCTATCCTTAATATATTTATTACAGTTGCAAAACGCACATCTTGAAAAGGTATTATATTACATTTCCATTAATAATCCCCTACGGCGCCGCTATCTTAAGAGACAATAGAAGTTTATCGAAGCAATTTTACCTTTTTATTATAAACGGAAGATCATCCCGGTTAGACAGCGGATCTTCTAGGCTTTCCACATTAATTTTAGACATTGTTGACATGGAATTAAAATGATTTCTGCTCAAGCGAGGACTTTGTTGTCTTGAACCAAAAAGCTTCATCACAGTTTCGCCAAATTTGTTCATGAATTGTTTGTCGACGTCATTTATCTGTTCAAGTGGTAGAGAATTGTATGGGTCGTCTTGTGCGTCCACTGAGCGTTTGAAGTAACCTGTATGCATAGATTGTGTGCAGCCTAGATACACACGATAATCCGACATAAGCTGACTGTAGTCGTTTGGTGCCCTCTCCCGCATATATGCTAGCATTGTTTCTGGATCAAATCCTGCGAACATAATTGTACACATGTTTACACATGCTAAAATCTTTTTCCCCCTTTTTTCCCAAAAAAATTCTAAACCCATTTTTATTTTAAAGTCATGAGAAATAATGTATAAAGGAAACTCATGATTATAAGAACGTTCCCTTAGATCGGCTCTGTATCTGTTGATTTATATGATTGTTTTTTAAATATCAATTTGCTCTCTTTCCTCTTGATATAATTCTGTATTCGCACAATTTTGGACAACTAAAACATGACTCGGATTTTAGCAGTATAAAAGCATGTCTTTGTAATAAAACAATTTTGAAATCATACATCGGAAAAACCAAAAACATATAATTAACAAACACAATTGATATTGTACACATCTATTAAACAATCGAAGCAGACTGAATCTTGAGAAAGAAAACACAAACAAAACAACAACAACAAACAAATTACAAAAAAAAAACAACAAAAAACAATTCAGCCAGCAGTCAACAATTCTCTGAACATTCTGTCTTTTACATTTGTATGTTGTTTTTTTCATATTACTTATAATTATTTTGTTTATTTGTCCATTTTATTTGTACATTGTACAATCAAGTAATAAATGATAACATATTAACGTACTAAAATTGTTATTGGTTACTTTCATAGACAATCTCAGGCTCAATTTAAATAATACACATAGTCCCTACTCATATCGTTTCATTTGTTTGTCCACTGTAATTTCGATTGAATAATTGACTATTCCCGTTGCTGTTTTTCTTGTACACATGTTATTGCAGAACATAAAATATTATGCATGTTTTAAAAAGAAATTATGTTCTGTCTAATACGTTCAATAACTTGACGTTTGTACGAAATCCTTTACAAATAAAAAAATAAAAGTGGCAAATACGATCTATCTCTTTAATTAAAAAATGTTAATTATTTTAATATATAGTATATTTGTTTTCTTGTTAAAACTGTAAGTTCTATTTGGAGGTAACGAGCACAGTAGTATGGGTATTGGGTAGGTATGAAAAAAGAAATACATACACTGTATATTTCATTCACTAAAGCATTATGAATTAATGAGACAAACCCGTTATACTTCTTTTTATTTTATATTTTATTTATCAAGAATTCTGTATAAACAATTTGAATATTTCGTTCAGAAATAGATGCATGAAGAAAGAGATTCATCACATCTTTCGTGTTGTTGTATCATAGGTTTTAAATTTGGATGAAGAAAACTGATATTTTACTCAGTTTGACAATTATAAACTAGAATTACGCACGCCAATTGTGAATATTTAACAACGTTTGCATTTACATTACAAATGTATTTTTAAAATTCATCACCACTTTACATTGTATTGGTAATCTTGGATAGGTGTCATCATAAATCACGTATTATACATACTTGTATCTTATTTTGATAAATGCATTTAGTTTATATATTGTTATGGTACTTAAAGGTATGTAATGCCTTTTTTAACAAAAAAATGCTAATATTTCTTCCCTTTTTGCAACAGAAGATGTTTCTGATGAAATAATATTTACCACAGAGTTCCTTTTTTGAAAAATATTTAAATAATTTATTCCTCAAAATGTTAAAAGTCAACCCACAATGTAAAGATATAGTTAAAACCATAATTATTATATACCATAAAGCAAAAATTCAAATCCTGAAACCTGAGCATTTTCAATTTTATTTCTTTTTAAATAGTTACGCTTGTTTATACTCTGGTAACACAAGAAATATAAAACTTTGTCCCCTTTGACTTAGAACATGATCGTTTATGCCTTTAAATTACGTTTAAGCTGTTTACAACTAATTTACTAACTTTTAAATAAATACTTTACTGTTTACTGAAATAAACATTTTTCTTATTTAAACCATCTAACACTGCCATATTTGCGCTGACATTATTGTATAACAATGTTGTGTTGTTATTTATATTATAATTATTTTTTATCAGAGTTTTTCGTCTTCAAAAACGTGATTACTGCTTTAACTAATAATTTTTTAGAGACAATATTTCATATTTGTATAGTGAACCTAAACAATAAAATTGCCGTTTTCTTTAAATTCGGTAAAAAATGAAACATCTCCATAAAAATACATTTTCATAAATTTCTATGTCTTAAATGAATAAAAACATGAATTGTGATAGGCCAAAGTGTTTTATTGAAAAAATAAAACCATTTGTCATCAGAAATATTAACAAAATAATGTTTTTATGTAAAATATTCTTTTTTATTATATCATTTTGCTTTTCTCTAAGATTTTATTTATTTGATCAACATATTGAGACAGACTTCGAAACTATTGAGAAATTCATGAATGATTGAAAAGTAAAAACAAGATAAATCGGGTAACAAATATTAAAATAAATTTCATAATGTACAGTTTCTATACATTTTTTATAGATTGTTATTAAATTTTCCATAAAATCTCATCCAATATGATGAGATTTTTACTCGAAAAAAAAAATGAGGGAAGACAAATAGATGCACATTTTTACAGCAGGAAACGAAAAAAATCTTTTTTTTATTATATTTTTTTTATTATCTTACCTCTGTCTCTTGAGAAGTCGTCAACAAGCCTTAGTGGATTCTCCCCACAGGCATTGTGAGCTGGGCAAATATGACAAACGCACACACAAACGAACAATATCTTCATGACATCAGAACGCTTCATTTTTATATCTTCTCTCAATGTCTGTTGATGAACAAAATCAAAACTTTTGTAAATTTTAGTTACTAATTTTACAAATAAAATATAAAAAGTAACAAAGAAAAAAATCACAACAGTTTGATAATGCTGTTATCTGTTTGATCAATAATGCTTTAATCCATCCGTTTAATTAAATATATTTTTGTCCGATTTTATATTGATTTCTTAAAATTCTAATTATGTCTTCCGGTTATCCTTTTTTCAGTTTTGATATTAAGTAAATATATTTTCAAAATAAGTCTACTATTTGAAATATTTTGTACTGTTTGAACGTTCGATTAACCCATTACACAGAGGTGCCTTTTTAACTATGTGATTCCAAAGCCATTTGCTATATAACACAAAGTTTTATTTTTCTGACTCTGCAAATGTAATGGTCAGTTTTTATACTATCCATGTGGTCAAGTGTATTGTTAAAGGTACTAGAGCCGATTGACATTCTAGAATAAATTGTGTTTAATAGATTTGTTAAGGCATCGTTTTGATTTACATTATATGTCTTACTTAAAAAAGTATTTTAAGATAGTCTATAATCAAATATTGAAATTTGTTGGCAGTTAATCTTTTATTTTATATTATATATGTGTTTAGGTAATTTGTTTACGCTTATCAAAATTTTTACTTTTAGGACATACATCCAAGGAATAATATAATATCTATAACCAAACCTTTAAAAAATCATAACAAATTGTCTTCAGTGAAACTATTTTCGTGGATCAAGAAAGATTATAATGCAACGCAATCGTATCATAAAAATTATCAGAAATTGTCTTCTAAAATTAGATCTTTGGACAAATTTACCACAGACTTGCAGTTTTTGTTACAGCATTACTATTAACAATACAATTATTCGGCAATGCATTTCAAATACAATATCATTTTGATGAAATCTTAGTAACCAAAACCTGTAATTAAACAAACTTATGTTTACTATTGAACTTGAGAATTTTTTTCTTATAAAACATAACACTTTGCTTATATAGCACATTAAAAAACTAACACATATGTATTACTTCACTGAATCTTACACTTAATACATACTATTAAAATATTAAAACAGAAAAATGATGCAAAAACAATAAATAAAAAGCAAGTACCTTTATTCCGTGGGAATATTTATTTATTTTGTTGTAAAGATATTACCTCTAGATAATTGACTTTACAAAGGTTTCATAAATCAGATTCGACGTTAACTTTTGATATAGCATGTTCCAATATATATTACATGAGCAGGTCAGTTCAGTGTCTTACGAGGTAATGAAATGAGTAATACGGTTTATAGTAAACAATTTTATAATGTGCAAGAATACAACACAATCACAGAACTACGTACCTCTTAAATGCCAAGAGAGCGATGGTTTGCAATATCAATTAAATTGATTGTTGTACTTATACTGTATTTTGCAACAATATCCTTTTATTATTACACACACTCACACAAAAATGTTGATAAAAAGTAATGTAAAAAAGGTGAATTTTTATTTTATTGAGATCAATATTAATAATATTTTATCATAAAATCAAAAATAAATCTTAGATCCAAGCTCTGCTACACGGTCATCATAGCAACCTTTTGATGACACAATTTTTCTCATATTCACTTACTACGTGTCAGTAACGCCCACAAATTCCAAGCCTTCAGCATCTATTACAGAACTAATATTTAGATTTAGATTTTGAAATGGTAGAGAGGTTGGACCAAGAATACATTTTATAGATAAATTATTTAATTTTCATTCAAATATGGCATTGAGGGATGGTCAATGTGTAAGTTTCGCATTGTTCGTTTCATTATACAAGTTTCATGATAAAAATATGTGTCTTTGCTTTTATTATATTTAATACATGATCCAATATAGCGAGAGAAAAACAAATTGATTTTTTTATCAAATATGAATGATGAATTATTACATAAAATTTGAAAAAAATGTCAATGGAGAAAAAAAATGAATCAAGTGATTTTACAGACTAATTAGGCTTTATCAGGTGAGCAACTCGACCAACAATATTTATACCCGTTTAAAAGTATTTTAGTGATATAGCTAAAGGTATTGCAATTCTTAATTCTGTAGAATCAGAAAAAACGTGTAATAATGTCATAAAGGACACCTTCAAATATTGATAACTTTATCTGATTTAGAAATGTTTAAAAAATGTATGGCTTGGAAATCTTAATGTATTCAAACGTTCTAAGCACATTTTTTTTACAAAATATATCGAACAAAATGAACCTATTTTCAATATTCTTCATTTCTGATAAAAATTTGAACGATCCCTTTGTTTGCAATCAATCTATGGAGAATTTGTCATTGCATTGAAGACGAATTAATTTTGATTCTATTTTTATTTTCATTTCAAATAAAGTGAATGGATTTCAAAACTCCAATGCTCCAACGTTTGGAAATATGCCAGTCTGAAGAACATCATTTGAATATTTGATGTATATCTCTGGTCACACAATTTGTTGACATGTGTACACTTCGCGTGTCTTGCTTATTTGTAAGGTTACTTTGTAAATAAACTAACAGAAGGCAAATGGTTTTGACATTTGAAGAAAACGAAAACATACCAGTGTATGAATAAAAGGTACATATTCAAATTCTTGAAATTTGCGAGGTTTAATCTGCTCTTAATCATTTGTTCGTTTTTTGCACTTTTCAGATGACTACTTTTATTATGTGAGATTTTAATAGAACAAAACAGAACATTAAATTAATCAGATACAGCTTATTATAATATTTAGAGATTTTAACGAAAGCGGAGATTTTGTCCGACAAATAGTTCATTACATTTTCTTTCAATTCTTAATTTGATTTCGATGTCAATTCCAGTGGTCATTTATTATATTCTTTAATATTATTCTTATTTAATGATCAAAAATTAAAAAGGAATTTGTTTCTACGAGATTTAAACACTTTTGCAGGGTAACAGGAACAGTAAAATATATATCAATAGTAAAACTTTAATCTGCCGGGAGTGACAAACATGACATTGTTAAGCGTACATTTTTGCATTTATAATATATTTTTATGTTCTAGATAAGAGTATATAGACAATGTTCACCACAGAGAAGTTGAAGATGTACTATCATCATCCTTGAATAGAATATTTCAATTACTTAAAATTATCTGCGAAATTCTTGCTGAATTTGTCTTATTTGAAATAAAAAAATGAATAAACTATTTATGGGAAGCTGCATTCCGTATTCCGTAAAACAGGTCAAGTAAAGTTGGACTTTTCTTAAAAAAGTTTTTTAAATGACACTACATATTCATATTGTGACCACCTATAGTGTGTAGAATCTTAAACATAACATATCTACTTTGTGTGATGTCAAAACGTTATCATTTCATATTAAGAAATGGACTGTGTTGCAATTATCACTATTTTCTTATATCAAATTTGAGCATAGTATCTCCTTAATTTAGGATATTAGCTCATACAGCTTTATATGATAATTTATAAATTACCATGTACTCTTATCTAATTCTGATCGTGTCATACAAGAATATGTTGATACATTCTGAGTATAAAGTACATTATTAAATGACAGTTTAATTTGTTCTTTCGTTTATAATTTTTAAGTTCATTCGTTTATTATTTTTAATAAAATGTTTATATTTATACCATAATGATTATGATAAGAGAATAATTATGATACAAAAATGTATAATCTTTATAATCTTAGTCTAAGGGTAGTAATAAATATTAATTTAAAACCCAATTGTTTGGTTTATACGATGAACTATGATGATTTTATAGGTTTATCGGTATAAGCTTACCTCTTTTATCGACATCGTTGATTTTTTTTTCAATTTATATTTTTTTTCAAATGCCATGTGTAATCATTAGTTTAAGGTATTTAAAAAAAGTTACAATTCGGTTACCATATATTTGTTTTAACATACTGTATTTGTATTCCTGAATTGTTCTTCTTTAATTTTAGGTTGTTAAATAGTCCAATCAAATATTGAAAAATAAAGTTAATTCATTCGTCTAATAATATAAGGTAAATTCATTTTGCATTCTTTTTAAACTCTAAAAATCATGAATTGTTTAAATATCTTTTAAACTGTTGTCTCATGTTTGATATTTTCTATGAACTACAAACATAAATTTTGAATAAGTATATCAGTAATGATATTAGATGATTCTTAGCAAGAGGAAAGTTTCGAAAAAGCTACATTTTTTCGACTTAATCATGCTTTATATTTGATTGAGTTTCTTTGAAACTGAACTGACAGCAGTTAGAACAGAATATGTACTAGACGTGCACTATAGAAGATGGTTTAATTTAAAAAAACGCATCACATAAGCGACCCAACGTGTTCAATAAAAGTAATAATATGGATAAGAAAGCATCTCTCTTCATGTGGCACTAAATAATTAAATTAAATGTAATGCTTTATTGCGATATATATTTAATTTTGTCAACATATTGTTGTTTTATCTGACAAGGTAAATATAGTTAACATATTTCATCCAAATAACTTAAAGTGTATTACATTGATTCTAACCTTCACCCTGTTGGAACCAGCAGCAATTAGCCTATGCCACATGTATAGAGCCAGGACAGCTTGTGCTCTATACTACTGGCTGACCAACTTTTAATTTTCATCTTGATATCCCAGAAATTGATAATGAACAGTTTAAACAAAAATGGAATATATGCAAAAATGACAAATACTTTATTTGAAGTAAAATGCAATAGCAACATTTTACATTCCTAAATGAATTATATAAAGTTATAATTATACATGTATCATAATTGTAGTGAATTTATGTGCTTACTTTGTACATTTGCAAATGTCGTAACACACTTGTCTTTCATGTACATACAATGTATATATCCTTTTTATTTGTCATTTATAAACAATAAATATGATTGATTTTATTTGCTGAAAAAAAAATGTTTGCCAGTATTAAAGCATCATGCCTATAGATTAAAGTTAATATTCATGTATTTGAAAATGTACTAAAGATAAAATATTGTAATGGGAACAAAGAAAATAATTTTCACCTTGCTAATGGTAATTTGCAGTTCAAAATTACCAAAAGAGGGTCAAAATATGCAAAAAGCCTTTACTGTGTAAGTCACGCAGTAGAAATATGGTATGAAATACTACATTCATAAATCGTACATAACGTGTAAATTATTACTTCTATCTTTAAGATAAAGGCTCATCTTAAGGCATGCAATCTAAGACATTTTTTTATTTCAATAAATCCGCAAGAATTAATTTTTATGTTACAGTTTAGTTTTATTCAAATCAGCATAACCAATGTGCCATTATGACGCTTACAAAAACTTTCAGAGCCTTTTGCATTTAAACAACAGTGATGTCTATACATTGCCATTTTATTCTTACGTAATAAATTACATACTTTTTATAGTAATGACATGCACGACTCTAGTCGTAACTTAATTTATGATATAAGTCGTAGACAAAATGCACATTTCTAACAAGTACTTATAATTTATGGCTTTTTAATAGTGATGACATGCACGGCTATAGTCGTAACTTAATTTATAATAAAAGTCGTAGACAAAATGTACATTTCTAACAAGCACTTATAATTTATGGCTTTTAATAATGACATGCACGGCTATGGTCGAAACTTAATTTTTAATTTAAGTCGTAGAAAAAATGTACATTTCTAACATGTACTTACAGTTTATATGGCTTATTTGCAAAGCTCTCTTTTAGTATATTAATTCTGTATATTAAGATAACACAAAATAATTTTAACGTTTAATGTCGATTGAAAATCTATTTCAATATGCAAATATACACTGATATTTATGGTAAAAGTTGACAATTTTACGCATTTTAAACATTTTCGAACAAATTAATATCTATTTTATTTCAGATACCTACCCGATTAAATAAATCCAAAGCAGCCAGCCTAAACACAATTATCTTAATATAACAATTAAATTTTCAAATAAAGTTAATTTGAAAAGGTAAATTATTAATAAAAAACCAAAGTATACACAGATATTAACTTTACCGAAGTATTAAATATATAGCTTTAATTGTGATATTTTTGTAACCGTTTAATTTATTGGATAAAGTTCGAACACCGAATCTTAATATTTGCTCAATTAGCAGTCTTTATATAGGTTGCGTTTTATCCGCTCCACTCAGTCTTTGAAGCGGAACCGCCTTTGTCAGAACACTTATCAAAATCAGTTATTAATGATAGAGTATTGGAGGATGGGATATTTTATAGACCTGATGAAAATGAAAATGGTATTCTTATTGCCCCACCGAGTAATAACAAACCAATTATTATTAAGTGGGGGATGGTATTAAGTGCTAGTAAAGAGTGAGAGATTGTCTCGCTTAGTGCTCACAGTGAGTAACCGCACTCTTTTTTTGGATGGTTTGCATTGCTTTCATTCCAAGAGTAAACATTTTACACTTTTTTATGACTGTGGTATGATAAACATCTTAACCTGTTGACTCTATGAAATAGATTTGACCTGTTATCAGTGTCGTACAGTTCATTTAGGGGTGTCATTGACAAAACTAGAAATTTTGAGCTTCCAACTGTGAAGAGCCTGGTTAGACTTCACGAACATGCAAGGTAGCCAGGGTTTATACTGGTGGCAAGGGCTAAATCGCATTTGGTACCATCAGGTTAAGGTTTAAAGACGAAAATGCGACTTTGGTCAGGCATTGATCATAAATGTATGCTATAAGATAACCAATGGTGAATTTATTTAATTTCGTTCTTTATAGCCATGAAACGTGTGTATTAAATGTAAACGACCTTTTTGTTGATTTTCCTTCTTTATCTCATGTGTGACACAGTATGGTTTACTTAATACCATTTTGACCTTTATGTTAATTTCTTTGGTACTAAGTAAATGATATATATCCTATTTTGATAAAATTTTCATAATTTTCTCATATATAGTTTGTTTCTGATAATTGTTAAAAATTTGATTTTTATGTAACTTTTCGTCAATTGTCACCTCGGTGACCTGCCTTAAGATATTTTTTATCGAAAAGTTTATTTCATTTCAGTTTAGAAATACTTTAAATTTTGTGGCTTTATCATACATTTTGTGATGGTTTGTTACATAGAAAATTTCATCGCGGTCTCTTAAAACATAAACAAATGTCAAAATGTTATTTCCTATTTCAGAATTTCATCATACGAATGATTATCATATTTTTACTCATCTTGAAAGTGTAAAAAATATAGAAAGAATCACTAAAGTGAATGCAGAACGTAAGTACAGTTCAGATTTTATCTTATAACTTCAGTTTTTGCACAATCTCAGATAGTGTAAATTCAACCCAAAGTTTGCATATGTGGTTTCAACATTTTTGAAGTCATTCAGGAGAGCTAGTATTTTTACTCTATATGATGATTTTGTAACGTATTGAACTCCTCAAAATAACATTGTCATATCAACCAATATATAATCCTAGTTTTCTAGCAATAATATAATGTTCAATTCATAAGATAAATATGGAAATGCAGATATACAATGTTCCATTCGTAAAAATAAATATATAATGTTCCATCCGTAAAAATAAATCTGGAAAAGCAATTATATAAATGTTTCATTCGTAAGGATAAATCTGGAAAAGCAATTATATAATGTCCCGTATGTATAAATAAATCTGAAAAATAAAAGATATATAATGTTCCATTCGAAAAAAAATCAATCTGGAAAAGCAACTATATAGTATTCCATTCTTAAAAGTAAATCTGGAAAAGCAAATATATAATGTTCTATTCGTAAAAGTAAATCTGGAAAAGCAGATATATAATGTTCCATTTGTAAAAATAAATCTGGAAATAGAGATCCATTGAGACCAATGAAAACAAAACTAAATATTTTTTTTAAATTGCATAAAATCTCAGACGCGGGTTTATTGAGTATGTTCATGAAATATTATAGAAATTATCTCTCATAATAAATAAATAAATAAACAGTGTCCTATATGACAAAACTCTTGGACAGTATAAATAAATACACACCTTCCGATCGCTATCAATTGTTGATTTCCATCGCCCATGTGGGATCTCCTCTTCGTACAATAAATATAAGAAGGACTCACAAACTCGGATATTAAATGCTGTTAAATGCTAGGCTGTAAAATACTTTCATTTAGTATTGTCAGATTATCTGATCATTTTTATTGATCGGATATGATTTATGCTGATTGTTGATCACTAATAAAAGTTGGTACTAAATGGTATTGCATCATTGATGATTTTCTTTATTAACACCTTTAAGCAAACAGTTTTTTTACTTTGTTTTAGTATCACAACTATCAAGAATAGTGTCATTCACCTAATAGATAATTTTGTCGAAAAAATATAATCAAAACCTATTGCACTTTTCCAGCCTTCTCTGATAACCTTCATATTATATTTGCTTAACTTGTGTCATTATTATATTCTGTCCGTTGCCGAGTTGTTAAGCTCATTGTCTTTAAACAACTTGCCCCTAATCGCTGTGGGCCCAAATACCGACAGCGACTTTGGATTATTTCATGCGCTAGCTTACGGAACGTCGATGGTTCTACTCAGGCGCCCGTTCGTCCCTAAAATAATGCACGGAAGGGCACAAGAGGTCTACCTCTACCAATAAAGCTGGAACGTCACCATATAACCTATTCTGTGTCGGTGTGACGTAAAACACAATCATACAAACAATTCTATTCTTCGGGATCATTGATACCAGCACTTTTAAGTGTACCGCTCAAGCCGGTGCTATGGGGCGTGAGGGATGTTGCGTTTATACTCAATCAAACCGAGTCTGTAATTTTCATGTAATTTCGTTGTAATTCATGCTTCCGAGGGATCACTTTGTTTCCAAAATTTTATACTTCACAATAGCAGGTGTCAAGTGCCGTGTGGCAGCTGTAAAAAGTTGCCACGTACTTCACTTGAGTGTTTGTTATATTTGTTTGGTCTTTCGGGATCATTGATACCAGCACTATTAAGTGTTGAGAATTGATTACCACTCAAGCCGGTGCAAGGGGGCGTGAGGGATGTTGCGTTTATACATTTTACCTCATATACAGACTCAATCAAACCGACTCTACAATTTTCATGTAATTTTGTTGTGATTCATGCATCCGAGGGATCACTTTGTTTCCAGATTTTTATGCTTCACAACAGCAGGTGTCAAATGCCGTGTGGCAGCTGTAATAAGTTGCCACGTACTTCACTTGAGTGTTTGTTATATTTTTCTGGTCCTTCGGGATCATTGATACCAGCACTATTAAATGTTGAGAATTGAGTACCCTCAAGCCGGTGCTAGAGGGCGTGAGGGATGTTGCGTTTATCCATTATACCTCATGTACCGACTCAATCAAACCGAGTCTACAATTTTCATGTAATTTTGTTGTGATTCATGCTTCCGAGGGATCACTTTGTTTCAAGATTGCATGTCTTGCACAGAAAAGTTAGGACGTTAAAGAATTTACACGCTTTTATCTACGAAAATTTGTCGGCCCTTTACATCAAATGTAATATATTTGAATTAAGTTACAAGTCCGCAATAAATTATATCCTCGACAAAGAAATTCTAGTTTGAAAATGACTTCATTTTTACATTTTAGAAACTATTTAAATTACTCAATTGACGTGCAAATTGAACTGATTTGCACCAAGTCGTCACTTGTTTTAGTGTGAATTTTCTTTTTTGTATTGGTCATTTATGTTTTCAAAATTTTGAAAATATGTCACTGATTGTATCACATTTTTATTAGACATGGCAAATACGTGAATATCGTGCCAAATATTATAGACAGTTCATCTGGTATAATTGTAGATGTAGTAAACAGATAAAGGTGGGAGTGAGTCATGTTTAAACAATGTATCATCAGCGATTTGTTATGTTTAACAAGGAAAGCTGTCCTGAATTTACAACAGATATTTTTCAGATAGAGTTGTTTGCTTGGCTTACACGTCTGACACGGTAACGAGTTCAAACGTTAGTCTTGATAAACATTTCTGTAAGGATTACTATTATTGGTCAATTTATGAAAAAATTGCGAAATTATCCAATCAAAGTCTTTCTTCTCTTTTGTGCTGTGACCTTGAGGGAAGTCACGAATGTACTTTTGATTTGCATCATGCGAGAAACGTAGAAAATTTGGCAGTATAATAAACAAACAAGAATTAGGTCAATAAAAGTTTTAGTTTTTAAGAGCATGACCTGCGCAGATAAACTTTGGTTAATTAATATTAATTCGTTTTTTTTTCTTAACTCATATTAACAATAATGAACGAAGTGTAACACTTGCTGAATATTAGTAAGGACAGTTATTTTTCCGCGTTTTTCAATTAGAGTTTAGACATAAAACATCTCTTGAAATGTCTCATCATATATAAACGTAACTATTAATTTTACATCACATCAATCCTGTTGTTTCTATTTTGCAACTGTTTTTAGAGTTTTGATAGCATTGAATTAGAATAGTTCCGCATTCATTATGTGCATATGGGAACTAATAAAATAGATTGCTTTTTTATCAAATAGATTGCATAACATATCATGACTTCAACATATTCTGGAATTTGTTTTCCTACAACAGACACATGAGTTCCCCATTTTAACATTTAAGACCATTAAAAAAATACTAATATGATGTCAATTACATATTTATTACTGAAATAATTTTTCAAAAAGAAGTCCATACTTTATTTCCTTGCCCTACGAGATCCTTCATTTTGTTGACGACTGAATACTACTTAAGCTTTGCTCTTGAGGAATCTACCCTTTAACGGATTTTGGAATCTACAATTTCGGGATTCTCGGTTTAGTGTTTGGCTTGATAATACATTTATTTAAGATACAATGTACTTATAACGTCTTTTATTCAACAATAAGAACTCTGTGAAATGTTACTTGTTGTGATGGAAGGGATGGCGTCCTTTTGCTTTTTTTCAATCTTGTTGTGTCTACTGTAGTCAATTTTTGAACGAGCCTTTGGTTTTAAAAATCGGCTTTGCACTTTTGGACCTTCCATCTTTCAAGTTAAACTGCTGAAGGAATGACAATACCATATGGCTAATACCGATATTACTAAAAATAAAAAAAATAAAAGGGAATGAAAATGTAGATAAGTCATAAAAATATACTTATATTATACTGGCGAACCGTTTATGAAGACGTGTACTATGATTTAT